AAAAAAAAAAAAAAAAATACCCCTCTGGGGTTGTTTAGGACAGCTCCTCCTTTTGGTCTTTCATCCCACCCCACCCCCTTCCCCAGGCCAGAAAAAGCATTTTTCTCTGAAGAAATGCAGCTGTCAGAGCAACTTGACAGGGTTGAGTTGAACACCATGGACAGCGACATGGACAGTCCTTGGCTTTACCTCTGGTCATCCTCCTCCCAGAGACCAGTGTGCTGCAGTGGGAGTGGTGGGTTCGCTCAGAGCACCTTGCAATCTTTGACCCTTCAAGCGTGGGTATTTTTTCTGTCTCCCAGTACACATTTACTAAGTTGATTTTGACACAGCTGTGATGTAATACTCATATTTTCTTTTATTTTTTATTAGCAGAATCCCAACCTTAGAACAAAGGTTTCTTGTGCCTACTCTAGGACTTCTTGCTGAGATCCCTCTGCTATCAGGAGGGCTTTCTGTGTCCTGAATGGTATACCAGTTTATGGCAAGATTTTCCAATTCTGGGCAGTCTTTTCTATGAAAAGTGGCATTTAACCAGGTTCTTCATAGGCAGATCCAAGACCCCTTTCATGCATTGAAGGTGCCGCTTATACAGAAAAGCAGTGTGTGGGCTTGAGCTAGGAGCCTGGACACCTTGGATCTCTTCCTGTTCAGTTACTTATGTGCCCCAAATTGAAATCATCTCACCCTTTCTGAACCTTGGTTTTTTTTTAAATCTGTAAAAGGGGTCAGGAGTGTTTGTTATAGGAGCATCTGTGGTGTCTGTGCCCTCTGAGTAATCCCTGGCAGAAGTTTTTCTGAACCTTGGACCCAGTTTTGGCATTTTAAGCAGGTTTGTTGGCATGAGACTGACTAGCAGCAGCTGGGAGAGAGGATCATGTCTGCCTCACATGGATTCTGCCCTGAGGACTCACAATCTGTTTTCTCTGTAGCACCCAGTACCCTATCACTGCCCAACAAATGAGAGTTAAGAGAATACTAGGTTTCTAGCCCACCCATACTTACCCATGATCCTTGATGAAGACCTTTCTGCTGTAAAGGCCAGTGAGCCTGGGACCTCTGCCTCAGAAGGGCAGATGTCCTCCCGAACAGAATGATTATCTGGGAGACCGCAAGACTGAGCCTCTTAATTAGACAGTAACTAGATAACCTGGTTGGAAGTCTGATGAGCATCTTCCAGATTCCCATTGAGGAGGGAATTATCACCAGCAGTTTGAGAATCTAATTTCATGTTTATTATACAGTGACTTTGCTTTTTAAACTACTAGGATTCTGCCAGGGGAAGATTTGTAAGTGGCAAGACACTGTGCTCTGCTGCAGGACAGGATGTTCTAATACTGTAAAAGTTCTGTCCGTTTCTGCTCCCATCTAACCCACATCCCTGCACCTTACACAAACATGTCCCTGTTCTTCCTCACACTTTGATTGCGTCTGTATACTTCTGCACGTACCCCTATATCTAGTCATCAGATGTGGGCCCCCAAAGAGGGGTGTAACTTCGGGTGAGGCAGCTCCCTTTAGACAAGGGCAGTTTCTGGGAGGGACTTGTGATCTCTCAGCACCAGCACTCTGAGTGCCTCAGTCTTGAAGGGGGATTCTGGGGGGCACACTACAGCATCCACCTCTGCAGTGGGCTCAAAGTGTGTCCTCTGATGAGCAGCATCAGCATCACCTGAGAAATGTTTCCATTAACTTGTAATAGCCTAAAACTAAAAACAACTCAATTTCCTTGAGTAAGTGAACAAACCATGGTATATCTACCTATACAAAGGAATACTACTCGGCATTAAAAGGGAATGAACTGTTAATATGTTCAATAACATGGATAAATGCCAAAATAATTACACTGGCCTTGGCTGGTGTGGCTCAGTCGGTTGGAGCATAGTCCTGTACACTGGAAAGGTCTCGGGTTCGATTCCCAGTCAGAGCACATACGATCCCCTGTCTGGGCTCATGCAGGAAGCAACCTATTGATGTTTCTCTCTCCCCCATCCTCTCTTTCTAAAATCAATAAAAGCATGTCCTTGGGGGAGGATTAAAAAAAAAAATTCATCAAAAGGAAATAATTACGCATCTGCAGCATTGCCCTTCATGAAGCTGTCTTCCTGCATCTGGCTGAGCTGTGGTGTCTAGCACACTACACACTGCTGGGCTGAGGGCACATGGAAAAGACTTCTAGCTTGTTTTGCATTTCTTGCTGGCCCATGAACAGTGCCTTACATTTCATCGATATTTTGTCTCTGAATCCCCTTTTAGAAATTGTTCTTTGTTATGGCCAAAACCATACTTAAATTTGTCACACCGTGGGTTGTGTGTTATTAATGAAAGGTTGAGACTTAGGTTGTTATTTCTTACTGGCGCATTCCTTAAATGCACATCTAGATACAGTTAGCATGCTTTCTACTTCCTAGATTTATTCCAGTCAAACCCAATTTAGTAAAAACCCAGGGGGAATTCTTTTGAACTTCCTGATTGGCCACATGCTTGCCTCCTTGTGTTTCTGCAGATCTGATTCATACCCACTGTGATCAGCTCTCTCAATTAAGACTTTCCAGATCCAGGACTCCAGAGTAACCAGACCCTTCCCAAGTGAGTAAGCCCAGCACTACCTCTGTCTGTGGAACTAGGGATATTCTGTCTGACTGAAATCACTTCAGGCATTCCTACGTACCCAGTGGACACAGATTATAAAGCAGCATGAATTTGAAGTGAGAAGCATTGATGTTTAAAATCTCAGGAAACCAAGAATTTTGTTTTCTATTGTTGCTAATATGTGGTACAGAGAACTTATATGATTTTGAATGTCTTATAGTAAAGACTGTACTAATGAGGGAATATATATCTTTAAATATTAAACTAAATTCATTTTAATCCAACACATCTGAAGCTGGTGAGATTCACCTTGGAGCTGAGAATTGGCTGAGGAAGGTGAAGTTATTTAACACAGGGGTCAGGTCAGCTAAAATGCTCATTAACTAAGACAAATGAATTTTTGAGACCGTGGCTTTCAAATTACTTGGGATTACTTTCATGGAAATACCACAGCACAAGTTACCCAAAGTTTAGTTGGACTTCCAAAGTATTCAGATGTCACAAATATGGTAGGAGCTGTTTTCTAAATAATAAAGGGCAAAAGTGACCATATGGTCCTGGCTTTTCTATAACTGATCCAGTTTAGTGTCTTTTTAGTCCACAAAAGCAGTTCATTGAATATATTACCTAATATGGTGTCATAAGATCTCTGTCTAGAATTAGACATGGAGGTAGGCAATAGTATATGAAAGAACATGGCTATAGAGGGATCAGAATTTCTGATTTCTTCCTAATTCCCAAGGAACACCACACCCCTCAGTAAGAGCAAGACCTGCAAGATTGTTGTTCAGGAACCAGCAGGGAATGTTTCTTTCTTTCACTTTTCCTAAAATAGGATAATTATTTCCATTTAATATCCTTTTTCAAAAACAAAAAATCACTTTGGACCCTGGTTAACCCTCTAGAGACAAGCTTTGCCTGAAAAAAACAATCACTAGAGTGCTCTTTTACATGGATTTTGCGTTTTGGCATCTTAGGCTACTTTTTCTAACTGATAATCCACAGAAGATGATTTGTCTACAACCTTGAAAGAATATGTTCTATTATAGAAAATAACCATTTCTAATCCTTTTACCTTCCCATTCCACAGTACTGCAGAAGGCTGTGATGAATCAGTAGCATATAAAGTACTGACAGGTACCTGTATCTTGCAGGAAGGAGCTTATACTTTTGGATTCCCTGGTGGAGGAAAACAAAACACTCTGGTCTTGCTTCCAATGATGCAAGTGTGATTGTTGGCATCTTCATGAGCTCCAGAGGTCACAGCACACTACCACGGACTCTCATGGCCCCTCGGATGATTTCTGAGGGAGATGTAGGAGGCATTGCTCAAATCACCTCCTCTCTCTTCCTGGGCAGAGGCAGTGTGGCCTCCAACCGGCATCTCCTCCAGGCTCGTGGCATCACCTGCATTGTTAATGCTACCATTGAGATCCCCAATTTCAACTGGCCTCAATTTGAATATGTTAAAGTGCCTCTGGCTGACATGCCTCATGCCCCCATTGGACTGTACTTTGACACCGTGGCTGACAAGATCCATAGTGTGAGCAAGAAGCACGGGGCCACACTGGTGCACTGTGCGGCAGGGGTGAGCCGCTCAGCCACTCTCTGCATTGCTTACCTAATGAAATTCCACAATGTGTGCTTGCTGGAGGCGTACAACTGGGTGAAAGTCCGGAGGCCTGTCATCAGGCCCAATGTAGGCTTCTGGAGGCAGCTGATAGACTACGAGCGCCAGCTTTTTGGGAAGTCGACAGTTAAAATGGTACAGACACCTTATGGCATAGTTCCAGACGTTTATGAGAAAGAGTCCCGACACCTGATGCCTTACTGGGGGATTTAATGTCACCAAAGCCTGCATCAGCAGCCCCTTGAGCAGTACCAGCATCTGCTACACACCGTCTGTCTGCTCCCCTCTTCACCTTTCTTTTCAAATGGTTGATTTTTTGGTTCTCCCTGAAGTGTTTTTTACACTGGGTGTTCAAATTTATATTAAGAGGTAGGGAGGAGGGGAGGAACATAAGGGGAATGCATACATTGCTAGTAACATTTTTAAAACTAACATTTTGGAATAGTGTTTATGAAAATCTTTAACTGGCTTTTAATCATTTTTAATAATTTGAACAGTTTAATAAACTGGCTCTGCTCTATTTTGAATCCCATGCCTTTTGGCATCAAGACAGGTGCAGGAGCTCAGTGCAAAAATCACTTTGGGCCCTGGTTAATCCTCTAGAGACAAGCTTTGCCTAAGGCTGCTGACCACATAAGCGCTTAGGGACGATTGATACCAGCTTCAGTCTCTACTGGATTAGCCTTACCCTTTCCTTTCCCCTTTATTATTTAGTAACTTTGTAAGTTAAAAAAACACACAAAACACCTTTATTATTTAGCTGTTAAGTAATTAAGTAATTATAACAAAATCTGCTGCAAACACCCTCTTGGAATCAATGTGCCCCAAGACTATATTAACATTATTTTTAATAAACCTATCTGCTTAACATATTAGAATTTTTAGTAAGAATTTTAGGGGTGTGTGTGTGTGTGTGTGTGTGTGTATGGAAGAAAGATGCTACAATAACTGTTAAAATATGGCTCCTATGACAATGATGACTGAAAAGAGACATCCCAACTGAACCACGTCAACATTTCACATCCTTGCAGATGGGCCGATATTAGTATCGTTTAAAGTGCTGGAACTGGAAAAAAGCATAGAGTGTACACTCTAATAAAAGGTAGTTTTCAGTGGTCTTTTGGTAACTGGAGTGCACCAAAGCAGTGAATCCTCCATCAAAGAATTTGGTTTTTCACAAAAGTGTGCCTTTGCTTGACTTCACAGACACAAATGCCCTAAACCAAACCTCAATACTGTTGATAACCAGACAACAGCAGCTTCCTTTGTTGAACCCTGGTCAGAGGTTTAACTGTTCCTAACAAGTCTGACAACACAACTCATCAGGGACTTGATAGTTTAATTGGTTCTTCTCTATTCCATATTTCTGGGAAGCTGCTGGGAGTTACCAGGTTGCCCCTTACTTTTAGATAGGGCAGCCACTTGTCACAGCACTGCCCTTTTTTCCTTCATCTGGCAGGTAGGTTGTAGCTTATCTGTGGAATAATTTTCTAGAATTTTGGTCTATTTTGGCAAGAAGCCATGAATATAGTGCCAATGATGCATATTTATATAAATTATATCTTCCAAATTTTACCTGGTCTGTGGCAGTGGTTTCCATCTAAATTCTACCTTTTCTTGTTTCATACCATTTGCCCACTTTTATAAATATGCACCATCATTTTCTAATTAGAAAACTATTTAAAAAGTTAGTTTCTAAAGGATATCAGAGGAACCATAAATGCTATATCAGCACATGTTCTTTAAAAAGAAAAACAAAACAATCCTAAGGCTATGGAGGTCATGGCTGCTTTAGAATGAAGGCAAACTGTAAGTCTGGTAGTCTCTGGAAAAAAGTCCAAAATAATCATTGTACTATAGTAAGAAAACACCTAGTGACATGTTCTTGGTAACTAAGGAAAATTTCCTGCAGAAATCCTGGCAAACACTACTACTGTTTAAGTAGTGATAACTAAGCATTCTTAGCACCAGGGAAGCCTAACACCTTTCTAATCCAAATGTCAGAGTTTATTAGCCGATCACAAAGGAAGGTGTGTGACCTAGAAAGTATTAGAGGAATTTCTGTAGTGATCCCCAGGGTAGGGCAAGCATTTCAAATTTCTGTAACATAAAGGCCCTATAATCTTTTCAAAGCTTAAGAATACCCATCATTAAATAAAAGTGGAAGTTATCTTTAAACTACAAAAAGTATATATATGCACACAAAATATTCAATTTAAAATATGCAACCTAATTCAAAGTAATCTATAGATTCAATGCAACCCCTATTAAATACCACCAGCATATTTCACAGATATAAAACAAACACTCCAAAAATTTATATGGGACCAAAAAAGACCCCAAATAGCCACAGCAATCTTGAGAAAGAAGAACAAAGTTGGAGGGGTCACAATACCGGATATGAAGTTATACTGCAAAGCCACTGTAATCAAAACAACCTGGTACTGGCACAAGAACAGGCATATAGATCAACAGAACAGAACAGAGAACCCAGAATTGACCCAAACCACTATGCGCAATTAATATTTGACAATGGAGGCAAAAGCCTACAATGGAGTAAAAATAGTCTCTTCAATAAATGGTGCTGGAAAAATTGGAAAAGTACATGCAAAAAAATGAAACTAGACCAGCAACTTAACCACCATACACAAGAATAAACTCAAAATGGGTAAGACTTAAATGTAAGTTGTGAAACCAAAAAAATCCTTGAAGAAAACATAGGCAACAGAGTATCAGACATCTCACATAGCGAAATATTCACAGATGCATCCCTTAGGGTAAGAGAAAGGAAAAAACAAATGGCACTACATCAAACTAAAAAGCTTCTGTAGAGCAAAGAAAACCAGGATCAAACTGAAAAGGGAACCCACTGAATGGGAGAACATATTTGCCAATGATACATCTGATAAGGGGTTCATTTCCAAAATATATAAAATACTCATACAACTCAACAAAAGGAAGACAATCCAATTTAAAAAATGGGCAGAACACCTGAATAGATAATTCTCCAAAGAGGACATACAAATGGCCAAGAGACATAAAAAAATGCTCAACGTCACTAATCATCACAGAGATGCAGATTAAAACAATGAGGTACCACCTCACACGTGCCAGAATGGCTATCAATAAATCAACAAACAAGTGCTGGTGAGGATGTGGGAAAAAAAGAAACCTAGTACACTGTTGGGAATGCAGACTGGTACAGCCACTATGGAAAACAATGTGGTTTCCTCAAAAAATTAGAAATGGAACTGCCATTTGACCCAGTGATCCCACTTCTAGGTATATATCCTAAGAAGCCTGAAACACCAATCACAAAGAATATATGCACCCCTATGTTCATAGCAGCATTATTTACAATAGCTAAGATCTGGAAACAGCCCAAGTGCCCACCAGTAGACAATGGACAAACTGTGGTACATTTACACCATGGAATACTATGCAGCAGTCAAAAAGAAGGATCTCTTACCCTTTGAGACAGCATGGAGGGACCTGGAGAGTATTATGGTAAGTGAAATAAACCAGGCAGAGAAAGACTTACCACATGATTTCATGTGGAATCTAATAAACAAACTGACGAACAAAATAGACCCAGAGACATTGAAGCATGCAACAGACTGACCTATAGTAGAGGGAAAGGGTGGGGGGGAGAGATTAACCAAAGAATTTATATGCATATGCATAACC